TGTTAGTTACCATACTCCTCTGAAACGGCTTGACCGATTTTTATAAAATTTTATATGCCAATTCAGTAGGTCTGAGAATCGGGTACCATCTATTTTTCATACCCCTAAGTGTTAAGGGTTGTCCATTCTACCCCCAAGGGGATAAAATAGGGGATGAAACTTTGTCAATTTCAAACCGGGATGAGACTTTGCATGCATAAAGCTACTATGACGTAGGCATCCCCTAAGAAAGGATTTTGATGAATTCCACCCCAAAAAGTATAAATTAACGCGAGCGAAGCCACGGGCAAGATCTAGTTATAATATAAAATAGTTTCCTGAGGTACGATTATGTTACAGCCCGTATTATTATCACGTGTGTTTCCGTGAAATAAGGAAGCAATTTATCCAGGATATATGCTGTGCGGGATACGCAACTTCCTCGCTCCACGTTACTGAACGGGGGAGTTCAGTAGCTTCACGTCTATTTTCATATATATTACAGTTAATGCTCGTTCATAAAACGTGAACGCATGTATGTTTCAGGGAGATTTACCTCAAAATTTTATGTAAAATATTATTTATACTTAAACTAAGTTATTGCCATTAAACAGCAGCGTTGATCTCGTAGAAAATATTGTTTTATGTTTCAACAAACAGTTTTATTTCACGCAAAGTTGTATATGACAATATCTCTTAAATATTATAGAGGTGTTTTTATTAGTTATATTACAAAAAATGCTTAGTATAAACTTATTAACATCCTCAAATATATTCCTGCCCTGATAATCAACACCTACCGTATCCTAGTTTGTTTTAAAACTATCCAGAAACCTATTTTGTTAGATCGACAATGAGAATCACTGGCAGTTTTTCTATATTCTTTTATCCATGTTTAAAATATGAGAGTTCTTTTTATACATTTTGTTTTCTAACACTTCTGCCACTGCCCTCTCCAATAATAAACGTCTACACAAGCATCTCTCTATATTCATTCATTTTTACTTATTTAAATATACACAAAAAATTGCATCCAAATCAGTCCAGCCATTTAAATACAGTTTCTAAAATATATACAGTAGAATTTTATATATTAGGTTAAATAAAAATAGTACGCAGATTGATCTCAGTCTACAGGATATTAACATACCTTTTACCAGAATTCACGCAGGCAGTGTCACGGTATGCAACTAGTCGTAAATACTTGTACGTCAAATTGTGTAAAAATTTACAGCCTCAATGTTTTAGTGGTTTAACACATCGCATTACCTCCGATGGTCGCGGGTTCGATTCCTCGCACGGCACAAACATTTGTATTCATGAGTATGATTATGATATCGGTCTGGTTGTTTTCTATGTGTAATATGTTTTACAAATAAAACGTATTTATAAGACTAGACTAAGAGCTTTGATGTTTGACAATATATTTTATGACATAAATGAATATTTTAGTCCAACGTAATAATTTAATAATATGTAATAATATATAGTTCATAGATAGTCTTGACAATATACTTATAATAATACCATGATATAATTAGTTACTGTAATTTAAAATATAATCTTAAATGAAATCTGTTGTAAATTGTTGCATGCCCGATAGGTTTTTTTTTTTTACGGATGATAATGGAATGGTGCACCCGCCTGCGCTAACGGTTTACGCTGGCGGGGCACCAGTGGACGATGATAAGATGAGCATGAGGTCAGGTCAGTTAGCCCATCGAGACAAATTCATCAAGAATTTATCACGATGGTTTCCAGGGGAAACCGCGTGGAGGTCGACCTGACATGGTACATTGCTAGCAATGAGATCATCAGTCGACATTACTAACAATCACCTTTCCCCCTGCCCGATAGGTTGTAACTGTTGATACTATGTATATATCTAAATATACATATATAACTCAAAGGTGACTGACATAGTGATCTATCAACGCACAGCCCAAACCACTGGACGGATCGGGCTGAAATTTGGCATGCAGGTAGATGTTATGACGTAGGCATCCGTTAAGAAAGGACTTTGATAAATTCTACCCCTAAGGGAATAAAATAGGGGACGAAACTTTGTATAAATCTTCTTAGATTTTGTAGGCCCTAATTTCATATACACGCTAAACAAAAGTAAAGTCGCAAAAACTACACCTAATTAATAATAATACTTACTACTATGCGAGCGCAGCCGCGGGCAAAAGCTAGTATACTATATATATACCTACAAAAAAATGTACCCACACAGTTAGCAATAAAGATATATATGTATCAGTTGTCTAGTAAAAAATATCTGGTTTTCATATACGGCTGATAGTAAACAAGTTTTCAGACTTGGGACAATTACGCGAGAAAAATAGATAGGTGGGTTAACTAAGTTGTTTGTTTTTTTTCAATACGAATTACGGTAAAATGGAAATAAGGTTTTAACTTTAAAGATTAATTAATTAAAAGAATTTATTTTTCATTGAAAATCATATGAAACGACTAATAGAAATTTATTGAAATTAAATAAATAATCAAAACGAGCATTTCAAAAATTTCTTTATTTTCAATCAATATCTTAGACTCTATTCAATTTGTTTTTAAATAAGATATCTTAATTAATTACTTTTCCTAAAGGCACTCCTTTTGATAATATATTTTGGTTATTATATGATATTTTTTAAGCTTTTTAATTTTAGGTTCTTAGTTGTACAATTAAGTTATCTAAGTAAAGTAAAATTAACTTATATTAATATGAAAAATATATGTAATTAAGTATATAAACTGTTGCACACATACATATTTTAGGAAATAATATTACGTTACTAATATTTTTAATGTTATATATATTTTATATGGATTAGGTGTTATTTTGCGGATGTGCATTTTATTACTTAATGGATTTATTTCATAAGTATTTAGTGCGGTAACTTGACCACCGCTGCAGGAAACTCTTCAGAAGACTCTCTCAACTAGTGGTCAAATACTATAGGCAACAGGCATCGTCAGGTGTTGAATCTAGTTCGGATATAGTAGCTTGGAAGTTTAGTATTGACTGTATGTATAATATGTATTTATTTACAAAATTATAGACTTCGCATCGCTTTGTGTGTTCTACCGAATATACAACGGACTGTGTTCTGATGAATTGTTTGACATGATGCCTACGGCTACCTTTTACCATCGCACCGCTCGCCATCGACAGGGAATTCATCCCCACACGCTGGACAGTGCGGTTTCAGAGGATCTTCCTCCCGCGTACACTTAGATTGTAGAATGAACTACCTGCCGAGGTTTTCTCGAGAGACTACAGCATGGGGTTTTTCAAGAAGGGTATATTAAGGTTTCTTAGGGGTCGGCAACGCGTATGTGACACCCCTGGTGTTTCAGGCGTCCATAGGCTACGGTAACCGTTTACCATCAGATGGGCCGTATGCTTGTTTGCCACCTAAGTGGTATAAAAAAAAATATCAGTTGTCTAGTACCCATAACACAAGCTCTGCTTAGTTTGGGACTAGATGGCGCTGTGTGAATTGTCCTGAGATATTATTATTATTAACGCCCTCAATTTGTATGGTTTAATGAAATGTTATATATTATTATATCATTGGCTGTGGACGTTAATTATTTCAGTAACATTACAAACAACTGTTACCTGCCGTGGACAGGTTCAAAGTATTCATTAACGAGCACAAAGTATCATATTTTGTTAATTATATTCAACAAAAATATCAATTGTCAGTACACTGTTACGTTCTTTGTGTGATTTTAAAAAATCTGCTATATAATATTTATGGATATTTCGTTCGCTGGAAAAAGGTGTGGGTGTTTGTTTTTTAAATAAAAAACACAGTAATAATATATTTTCGTTGTTTTGGTCGAATGAGTTAAAACATATTGTGGTGCTTGTTAAATTTAGAACATGGTGTTTAACAAGGAAACAGCCAATCCATATGGGAGTGCGTGTTTAATTAGTGTAGTTAAGATTACAACAACATCACCACATTGTCATCCACAAACTGACCGACACCCAAGAGACAAATATTAAACTAATTTATTAGAGTCAAATATAAATATACAATAAGGTTATATCAGTTGTAGTGATAAGAGTAGACCAGTCCCTACAAGCAGCATTCGTTCACGAGTATGACGGATGAGCCAGCTATCACTGCGCTCGACCATATTTTTGAGACCCCAATGACCCGGCCCACCACGCCGCCACATGTCTGGACATTTTAGTGAGCATAACTACTCATTCCACCTTCAAATTACTATATGGTAGTTACAGTATTCGCACTTTACATAGGGATGCATGCGGTAATATGGCACATGTATATATACATAATATATATAAATATATACATATATATAGCGACATGTTTTTTATTAGTAAATTGTCCTGGGTTTGTTATTTCTCTTCTAACATCCCGTTGACTCGGTTTTTGGCGTTTTTTTCCTATATACAGAAATTCGAGTTTTATTGTACGTATAGATACTAGCTGACCCCGCCAACGTTATTTAGCCATGTAAATTAAAATCGTCCAAAAAATAAAAAAATAAAGTTAGGGGTGGACCTTTATCACTTAGGGGTATGAAAAATAGTAGCCGATTCTCAGATCTACTGAATATGCATATAAAATTTCATAAAAATCAGTCAAGCCGTTTTAGAGGAGTATGGTAACTAACATTGTGACACGAGAATTTTATATATAAGATAAATTCAAAAATCATATAAGGGTTGTCCACCCCCTAACATTATTTTTTTATTTTTTAGGCAATTTCTTTTATTTTAATTTTTTTATTATGTGTCATTAAGAAATACATACAACCCTAAATTGTCACCCTTCTTTCACTAACCTCTATTTTTATAGCGTTATTAATTTTAATTATAACTATATAAAAATGAACTCGTCTTCGTCTCTTCTTGTTCCTGCTGTGCCCAACAGGGTACATAATTTATCTACTTTACACCTCCCAACTGTTTACTGTAAAATTACGGAAACCATAGCTAAAATAAATGAATCTTCTACAGATTTCAAGACTTCGAAATGGTGCTAAAACTCAGTGCAATGAAGTACATGCCGCTGATAGCGTTCCAGCTGGTACTAGTGGCTTTGTTCTTCGTGTTTACAAGATATGGACGGGACAAAGATGTCGACGTCAAAGGTAAGTTAACAATAACTTAACTAATGCTAGCTGGTGGAAAGAGGATTGCTTTTAATTAGAATAGAATAGAATAGAAAATCATTTATTCAATTAAACTTGCATTATAATAATAATCTCAGGACAATTCACACAGCGTCATCTAGACCCAAGTTAAGCTAGGTAAAGCCTGTGTTATGAGTACTAGATAGCTGATACATATACATAGTTTTCTTTTTTAACACAAAAAACACCCAGACCGATACAAATAATCATACTCATGAATATACGAGGAATCGAACCCGCGACCATCGGTCGTAAAGCGGTGTGCTAGACCGTTAGACCATCGAGGTCGTCCACCACATTGAAGCATTTTTGAATAGTCAACACATTTTTTTTTAATCTACCGCTCATTCGGAAAGCTGTCTCATCACAAGAAGAACGAACAAGAAACTTGTGTGTTGCTCTTTTAAATAATTTTATTCTTACTTTACAATTTAAGTTTAATTTAATTAAATAATTAAATAAAAAAAATATTGAATACAGAACAACTTGTTAAACAATTAATAAATCAGTCAGAGTTATTAATTTACAATTTATAATATCTGCCGATGTGGCACCGATGTCGGAGAGGTTAAAGAGTAATCGTCTATCGTGGTATGGGCATGTAATGCGTAGGAATGAAGATCATATCCTATGGACGGTGTTACATATGAATGTGGATGGTTATAAGGGTAGAGGAAGACCGAAAAAGAGATGGATGGACTGTGTGAAAGATGATATGGTGAGAAAGGGAGTAAATAACGAGATGACTGCGAACAGAGATGAATGGAACGAAAAACATATTGCGCTGACCACAAATAAATGGGATAAGGAAGAAGCAGATGATCATAAATAATATCTACCGCTTTCTTTGTAGCGACTTCCTTTTTTTCTTTTTAATTATCCTGTATATGGAACACATGCCTTTTATTATTATTATTATTTCTTGTTAATATACTTACACTACTCATTGTATATACCCGTAATACCTTAATCTATGCATATAAATAAAATTGGAGTGTCTGTTTGTAATATTGAAATAACCGTTTTTTAGTACATGCATATGAATATAAATATATGGTACATACACCAAAATATTTTTATAACAATTTTTGTCTGTCTGTCTCTTTATTCCGGCTAATCTCTGAAATGGTTGGACCGATTTTAACGGAAATTTTATTGGCAGGTAGCCGATGTAATAAGGAGTAACTTAGGCTACTTTTATTTTAGAAAAATAAAGTTCCACGCGGACGAAGTCGCGAATACAGCTAGTTTTATAATAAACCTCATAAATCATACGCAAGAAATCAGATCAGATTCAGATCGAACACGATCGAAAGAGGTCGCCTGGAAATGTCAAATAATTATTTCTGAAATGTCGCCTACACGAGATAGCATTCCTCTGAAGAGACCAAAAGTTTGTCCCACTTCGTAAGTTTTATCTGTTGCAGCCTCTCTCTGTAACTTGCGCTATTATGATTCCTAGTAATTCATACCCGAAATCTTCTTGGTCAGTTTATTTTATTTAGTATCTACTACCCTTTATCTAAAGGTCCCTGGTTCGTTTCTGGGATTAGAGAAATATCTTCGTAATACAACTTTTTATATACTTTTGTATGGATGTAACACATCTAAATATATATAACTCAAAGGTGAGTGACATAGTGATCTATCAACGCACAGCCCAAACCACTGGACGGATCGGGCTGAAATTTGGCATGCAGGTAGATGTTATGACGTAGGCATCTGTTAAGAAAGGATTTTGATTAATTCTACTCCATTGGTGCCACGCCATTGTAAACCGTTAGCGCAGGTGGGTGCACCATTCCATTATCATCCACTAAAAAAAAATGTAATAATGAATTGCACCGTAATACAAGTTTCTTAAAGATTGTGAAATAGAAATAGAAATAGAAATAATCTTTATTCAAATAAACTCATTACAAGTACTGAAGATTAAGAATGCAGATTAATCACGAGAAGAATGAGCAAGAAACTTGTGTGTTGCTCTTTTTAATAGATTGTTTTTTTTAAATAAATAATTACAGTATAACAAGTAAGAGGCATGCATGTATGTATTGTGACATGTGTGATTAGATTAGATTGACGAGTGTATAGGTTTATTTTTGCCTTTCCCTTTATCCCAACATTTATGGTCAGCGCAGTATGTTCTCTTATTCTACTGTATACAGGCCATTATATATGAGAGATAAACTTTTCATTTATATATAACAGTTTTGACGACCTCGGTGGTCTAGCGGTCTACCACACCGCTTTAGGATCGATGGTCGCGGGTTAGATTCCTTACACGGCACAAATATTTGTATTCATGAGTATGACTGTTTGTATCGGTCTGGGTGTTTTCTATGTATAATATGTATGTATTTACGAAAAAAAAATTTATGTATTTGCATCAGTTATCTAGTAGTCATAACACAAGCTTTAGCTAGCTTAACTTGGGTCTAAATGGCGCTGTGTGAATTGTCCTGAGATTATTATTATTATTATTATTCCCAACTTCCAAAAAATCTCATCTCCCCTTAAGGAGAGGAGATGGCAACTTACTCCCGGCAGAAGCACAGTCGGCCGGGGTTCAGGGCCCCAGGATAATAATAATAATAATAATTATTATTATTATTATTTTTTTATATTATTTTTTCTCGACTTTCGCCGGTAATCTTGGTATGTACGGGCCTAAGCCAAGTACATAACAATGTTCTATATCAGGTGGATATACAAATGTAGGCCTAATCTATCTGTAGAAACTTTCTAACAATCCGGCATGTATTTAGAACTACAGCCTTCTGTAGTTGGCAGTATATATTAGGGGGCAAGTTCAGGGTATTTAGTGACTGATGCATGTGTTTCGGTATGACACCTGTAGTTGAGAGGACGATTGGGTTATTATTATTTTTATTATTATTATTATTATTATTATTATTTTCACAAAGTCCTGTCCATTTCTCCCTTTCCATCCACGTTCATGTTATATACTTTCTTTAAGACATGCTCCTCGCTCTTCAGCATACCATGACCATGCCAAGTCCCGTCAAAATCGGTCTAACAGTTTCAGAGATTAGCAAATAAAACAAACAGACACAAATAAAATATCATTGCAATGTGAGTACCGTATATCCTATTAATATTATAAACGCAAAAGTTTGTGTGTATGGATGTTTGTTACTCTTTCACACAAAAACTACTGAACGGATTTTAATGAAACTTTACATTAATGTAGCTTATATATCATAGGCTAAAAATAATAGGGTGAAGCCGCGAGCACAGCTAGTAATATATTTTCATTCATTTATTGGAAAGCTGGTAATTTGCAATCATGAACAGACTCTTCAATTTTATTCATTAACTAGCTGTACCCGCGACTTCGTCCGCGTGGAATTTAACTTTATTTTTCTAAAATAAAAATAGCCTAAGTTACTCCTTATTACATCAGCTATCTGCTAAAAAAAGTCCCGTCAAAATTGGTCCAGCCATTTTAGGGATTAACCGGACTAAACAGACAGACAAAAATTGTAAATGTTATTTTGGTATATCTATGTACCGTATCTATATTCACATGCATGTAGTAACAAACGATTATTTCAATATTACAAACAGACACTCCAATTTTATTTATATGTATAGATAATATAAAATGAGGATATGACAGTCAGTTCAGTGAGGGTATGTAGGGGACGTTTTGTAAGTGAAATACCATGTAAGGTATATGGGTGGCGTCGTGAGGAGTAACTTCTGCCAGGAGTTAATTGGTTTGATTACACTGGAGACATATTGCCCCAACAAACGCAATGCAGGATTAAGTTACAAGTGTTGCCAATTGTAATAATTAGCGTAAGCAATTAAAATAAACTCCGCAAACAATACAAGGACGCATTCGTTGAGTGTTAAAAATACTAAACTAACTAATCTTCTCTTGGGAATTTGATGATACCAACATAACAATATGTTTGGAATTCGTTGCAGTTCATTAGAAACAATAAAATAGCTATTATAGTTATAAAGTGGCATTGGATTACGTGCATCGATGTTGTTTGATGTCTACGATATACAAATTGGTACTAGGTACTACGTTCTTTGAAACCAATTCCGATTGAACGACATTGGAATGTTATGTTTTTTTTTTAATTCTATACCTACTAATAATGTATTAATTCCATATATAGTGGTAATTGAATGTTTTAATGCATATTGTAATGAAGTATCTAAAAAAATTTAGCAAGAAACTTAAAATTATATTATTTTAAAAACATTTCGAATTGGAAATGTCAATGAATTTATCTTATATATATAAAATTCTCGTGTCACAATGTTAGTTACCATACTCCTCTGAAACGGCTCGACCGATTTTTATGAAATATTATATGCATATTCAGTAGGTCTGATAATCGGCTACTATCTACTTTCGTACCCCTAAGTGATAAGGGTTGTCCAACCCTAAAATTATTTTTTATTTTTTGGGCAAAATGAAAAATTTTAATAAATAAATAGTCAGCGCCATCTAGTAGCCAAAAGTGTTAGATATATTATTATATATATTTATATACATTGAAAAATAAAGTAATGCGTAGAGACATATGAATACTTACTAATATTATAAATGCGAAAGTAACTCTGTCTGTCTGTCTGTCTGTCTGTCTCGCTTTCACGACAAAACTACTGAACCGATTTAAATGAAATTTGGTACACAAATAGTATAAACCCTGAGAAAGAACATAGACTACTTTCTAATGCGAATAAAGTGTTGAAATTTTCGCCCTTCTATCACGAACCCCTATTTTTTTATAGAATAGAATAGAATAGAAAATCATTTATTCAAATAAACTTACATTGAAGCACTTTTGAATAGTCATTACATTTTTTTTTAATCTACCGCTCGTTCGGAAAGCTGTCTCATCACAAGAAGAACGAGCAAGCAACTTGCGTGTTGCTCTTTTAAATAATTTTATTATTACTTTACATTTTTA